TATTGTGAAATCTAAGGTATTTTCACGTGAGAAATGCTTTAAATATATATTATCAGTTTCCGCTTCACCGAAGCTTGAAAGAAAGACGAATGATGCGACGGAAGAGAAACACAAATGATTGAAAATTTGTTTGTTATCGTTGACTGAGGTGCTAGAATGCTATAAAGCTGCTCGAATTCATCAGAAAAATAAAGTTAGCATTCTCTTCGTTGCACCGATTTTGTCGATTTAAGATGATACATATTGTGACGCCTTGATTGATATCATTCAGACATTGCCGGACTTCTATTTATGAACAAAAATTGAACATTTTAGTCGAAATTTAAATTCGTAAGCAGGGTCAGATCTCACCATACACACTTAGAAAAAATCATGTAAATTTAGGTGCTCTGAGAGTAACATATACGAGCGTCAATTTAGACATAAATTTGAGTCATAACAGACGCGAAATATAGCTCAATCAAACGTACTTTTCATCGAGCAACGAACTTTTCAATCTCGGAGCACTTAATATTACATTGCATGTTTGTTTGAGTCACATCTTTTATGTCAAAGACCAATTCCGTCATGTGTAAAATTAGTTATTTCTAAGTAAGTAGGTGGATAAATTCAGCCTTTTTAGCATTTTGAAGCACTGTGCGTTGTGCAATGATTTAAAAAAATCTGGTCCCCCAGAAACCCACATCAGCTAGGCCAATGTCTTTCATGTTGCTTAACCCTCTACTACCAATTTTTTTTCAATATGCATGCTTTCTTTCGGAAGGCCAAACGAAACTCAATATGAATTTTTTTTTTGGATTTTGGAAGTGTGAACGAATCAGTGTATTACAAAATTTTGACCAGACGATGCCTATGGCTGCACTTCACACGGGTTTTCTACAATCCTCTGCCAAGAAAGAGGGTTGCTGAAGCCGCCACCATTGGTGGTGTCAGCACTATAGCCTACAGTTTTTATGTTATGTTTATACGTGCTTTAACGACACGTTTGCGTAAAAAAAATTATGTATTATCATTCATAAATGTAAATTTTTCATGATTAGCATGCCGAATTTAATAAAAATACTACAATACACATTTCATTCCTAAATGCACGCATGTGATGAACATAAACTCATTATTATCTTGTAGCGCAACAAACAAATCGAACATTTATGTGACCGGAGCTTAATTACTCAATGCTTGCATCAGCTGTCTAAGATTGAAAGATAATCGAACCAAGAGCCAAAAACTTTGGCTTCAAGCAAAATGTTGGTGAATGCCCGAGTAAAGTCTGAGATCAAATTGAAATCTTAATTTGATTACACAGGTTGCTGTCGTTTTGGTCGTTTTAACGGTTAAAATATTAAGCAAATATTATTAATTGAAAGCAGAACAATCTTCCTGTGACATCACATTGAAAACTATTTCTGCTATCAGTGAGAGCAAACTGAAAACTCAATTTGATATTAACTTTTCCTGTTGATACCAAAACAAGTATTCAATTTGACGTTTTGCTAAGGCAATGAAAACAAACCAGCAACAACATATTTTTGAAGAGCTAATGTACAGCAAAATGAAAACAAAATATGGTATCGTATATGTCAATTGCGTAAACTGAAACAAATTATGATTTCAGTTTGATGTTGATATCAAAACTTGATTTCAATTTGCTGTCATTTTGATGCTGGACTTTGCTCGGGTGACGTTTCTGCCGCCGGAGTGGTTTTCTATGGACACTCACACCATCAAAGCATGCTGCTTATTAAACTGCAGGCAAAGCTTGCCTTCTACCGCTAGGTGTGATAGTGTTCACAAAAATAATATGAAGCCTCTCTTGGATCCGAAGTTTCACTTTTGTTCTGTGCAAATGTGGTTGCATTCTTGTAAGGGGGAGGGGAGATGTTGATTCCCTACCGATAGAATGAAACGCAGATTTAGAAAAATTTAGCTTGTCTAGAGGAGTTTTTAAAATAATGTTTCTTTTTCAGTTTTCTCACGAACGATTGAACTAATTTTAACCAAACTTGATCGGCTGAAACTAGATCTCACGAGGAAATTCTGGTCCAAATTTCTGTGCTTTTTAAAAATATGTACATTTAAAATTTCATTGCGATGACATTTTTTTTTAAGTTAAATGCATTGTTGGATGACATATTTTTTACTGAAAGTCATAGAACATATTTTTTTACCTGACTTCACAGAATGATTTTGTGACCAATTTAGTCCATGTAAATTATACTGGCCCACATTTACATGGGGGAAAATTTCTATGATTTTTTTTCAACGGGCCAATCCCTAGGTTTGTGCCATTATTTGAGAAAACCACTCTCTGAAAATTTCAACTCATTCGAAAGAAATACGTGCTGGTGCTTTTAATTTAAAATTCATATAGTGATATTGGTTGAAATGTATAGAAAAATAACATTCCTTCACTCTTTCGTGCATAGAACTGGTCTTGCAAACTCGATAAAGCTCAGAATATTCAAATTGTGTATCTTTCCAACCATTGATACAACAATTGTAAAATCATAAATTATATATGCTCCAGCCCTTTAAATTTACCCCGCCAAAAGCGAGGGGACGACTCTATCTACGATGCAGAAAAGATTTTGTTTTGCTGTGGCTAGCTGCGCGCACGCTGAGTAGATAGAAAGAAGATTGATGACGATTCTGAAGATTTCCTGCAATAAGATGATGCACGATGCAAGTAGATGCGACAAATGAAAGAAGATTTTTCGAAGATTGATTCGCTAGTGTGAGATTTGTTGAGCGTCTGAACTTGAGATTTAGATGTGTCGCCCCCCCTAGGCCAAAAGGAGGGCTTCACTGAGACAAATAAACATAAAAATTTCATAAGACTCGAATTATGAACGACATATATGAATTACATAAGCGTGACTTTTGAATGAACATAACATGAGGTAGCTCTCATGCGCCTTTATCCGTTTCATTTTCCTAAGCGTTGAAAGACGAGTAGTCACCAAACGGGCCCCGTAATCTCAACGTCCATGGTTCGGTTCCAGTCTGCTCTAATTTATTTTTTTTTTCAACATTATTTTTACCTTATGATCATACTGATCAATAAAATCCATACTGATTTATTGTGGCTAAAATTCATAAGTGTTACTTACGGAATTCTTACGTTCATTTGCCTGCGTGTTGGGAATCATATTGGGTTTGCCTTCGCTGAGGCAAGGAAGGAAGTTTCATAGGTGGCAGTGAATGCTCGATACTTCCTTAAATTGACTAAAAAGGTTTTCTTTGGGGTACAATTCAAAGAATTTTACGTATCAGTCAAATGTGGTCGTATGGGCAGGCATATTCAAGTAGCGATTAAAAAGCGACAGCAGAAAGTATGTTTTCTGGGGCCTCCCTTAGCTCAGTCGGTAAAGGCGCAGCTAAAAAGTAAGACCATGCTGAAGGTGGCTGGGTTCGATTCCCGGTCCGGTCTAGGAATTTTTCGGGTTGGAAAATTTCTCGATTTCCCTGGGCATAGAAGTATGATTGGACTTGCCACACAATTATATCAATGCAAAAATGGTACAGGCATCGAAAGCTCTCAATTAATAACTGTGGAAGTGCATGAACACTAAGTTGAGAGCACGCAATAAGCTAAAATGCGATATGCAATAAGCTTGAAATGCGAAGAAGAAGAAGAAGAAGAGAGTATGTTTTAGTTAGTCCTTCCTAGAAATATCTTCCAAACTTTAACAAATATTGATTCAACATTGCTTCTACAGCTCTATCATGGACTATTCTTTGTAACTTCATAGCCCTGGAGAGGACATCCATGACCCTTAAAACTTCTCCAACGGCCATCCCATCTCTCCGTCGGTCGATCGTGTTTGATTGCCAGCTTAAATTGAATGGACACGTTCTACGGAACCGCTGATTCGAGAGTTTATTCCCACTTTTGGTAGTACATTCCTGTGATCGAAATGGCTGTGAACTGTCTGTGGTCCACCCGGAGTCATCGGTGCGGAAAACTTTGTCTTCTTCTACATGCTTGGTATATAGGGCTTCGATTGATTTTTGCTCTCGATTGCTGACGACAACGATGATGATGATGACGATGGTAGTACGGTCCGAAATAATTTTGCTAGAGATTAGTGCTAGTACAATTGGTTTTCGGACGTTGGTCGTCTGGAAGCAAGGATATGATTGTGCTTGTGCAATACTTGTACGACCAAGCGACTAATAATAATCATATCTTTAGTGTCATCGATGATGGCGGTAGCCAGACGACGGACGCCGATGTTGCAAAAATGAGGCTATAAAATTAATTTTATGATCTGCCGGGATAATGTTCGCAAACAATGTGACAGTTAAGTGTGTGGAATTTTGCAGATGGGAGAAGCCTTCCATTAGGATAGTGCTAAGGGGGTTTTCCTGTCTGGTGCACACTTATGAATTGCAGTTAAAATCCATCGGAGTGACTGACGTCTTTCTGTTACTACAGGAAACTGAAGACATAAACGGAAGGAGATACTGATAGCATGAATTCGATTTTGGCATTGCTTTCCGTCGCTTTTTTAATCGCACAAAGCTACAAGCCATAACCGGAACGACGTAACTGCAATGGTTTGGTGGAACAGATTAAAGTGAACGAATTGGTCTCGTTATGACGGTAATGAGGTACATTTTATATTGGTTGGTTTATGGTAGTTGCAATCCGGATGTGATGACATAAAATGCAGAAAATTAATAAATTTTCAATTTGCCAACAACTATAAATCTGCACTCAAAACAGGAAACCTTACTCCCTCACCTCCCGTGCAGCGTTCATTTTCCAAGTCCATCCGTGAGGTAGATCAAGAAATTGGACCGCAGCTACCATCATCGCGAAAAGACATTAGTAAGTCCCATAAATAACCGGTTCAACTGAATAAAAGACCCGAAATAAACCCCACAACTCAACATCCTGCCCGCCATCACTACTGGGAGTCGTGGCTCTGATTGCTCACGTTGTGGACCTATAAATTTAGCAGCTCACGAACAAAATTATTGTCAACCTTAATTACCTTCTTCCTTTGGTTTTTCAGATGCAGAATAGCCCGGCGCTGCGGATGATAGAGGGATGCCGGTCGGTAGAGTAGTCCCATGAAGAAGCTAAACGAAACCAGCCCGGTGACGGCTTGCAGGCCCAGGCGCCAGCCCATTTTCCTGTGGGAGGATTTTTTTGCAAAAGTTAGTGAACCGATGATTGTGATGATGATGATGATGATGATGATGATGATGGCACGTAGGTAGCAACTACTCTGCCATCAGTTTGAAACATTCGAATGAACAAAAACCTCGAAAATAATGGTTGTGCTTTTGGGCAAATGTACTAAGAACGGAATGGAAAGTGGACAATGGTGGTGTCAGGTCAGTGGACCGGATCAAAGCGTGGATGAAGTAAAAGTTTCACCATCACCGGAACTGACTGCTACCGGGACGGAGCGTGGAAAAAAAGTTCTCGCCGTTGACCAAGGCAAATGATCACGATGAAAATGATGTCGTTTCAATGTTTTGGCATAATTTATGCCTCGGTCTCTGCCAGCAGGCGTCACCAACATGAGATGGGCGTAAATTTATGCATGCAACCTCGGCTGGCTGGTTCGGTGGTGTAAAAAAGGGGAAACTTATGCGATAATGAAAATGGAGTAACGGGTAAACAGAAATCCTCTAGGGATGGACCCGGTACGTGCTATGTTCACACTGCTTACGACAAGTTTGTCGGAAGTGTGATAACATTTTTGTTTGTGGCATGGCAGATGGTTATTCTTGACGGTATGAGCTGAAATTTTTCAAAAACAGTAGGGAAATTACGGTGTATGGGAAAAAACACTATCCAGTTATAACATAATGTGCGAATGAGACGAATTGGGTTTTCTGGAGACATGTTTGGAAGATCATGTATGTGAAGGAGATTAGTTAGTATATAAGTACAGTATCGCTCAAAACATTTTGAAAAGCAGATCTCTTGGGGGTGATGCATATATTATGTCATACTCTAAGGGGGAAGGAGAGGTCTAGGATTTTGTGACAAGTAATGCATTAGGAATAGGAAAAACGTGACGAAAAGGGGTACGGGGACGGAATTATCTTTTTTTCTCAATTTAATTAAATTATGGTCCCTTCGTTTAATTGGAAATAATTATTCTCACAAATTTTCTTGGTGTTTCGATTTAAATTAAACGTTTTGTGAGGAAAAAATATGAGAACTGCTTCGAACGCTGCAGGTGTTCATCAACTATTGCCTGCGGCATATAATTCGTGCCTGGTGGTCTCACATCTGGATCTCGTATGCTGAGCTGCATCTCCGATGTCATCAGAAGCCGATATCAACTAACATTCGAGAACATAAGTGGAGGTGGGTCAGCCGCACTCTACGAAGAGGATCTGCAAGCAACCGCAGGGTTGGAACCTGGCAGGACATCACAGCAGAGGCAGGCCCTCAGGATGGCGCAACCTCATCAAGGAAATAAAGTATGCCGATAGGAATTCGCCATGGGCCCAGGGTAAAGCAAAAGTAAACAGCCGTTCAGGATGGATTGTCTTTCACAATGGACCTTTGCACCACTATCAGGGTTCTTCATTTTTGAAACTAAATGAAGTTGATTTTTGTCTCTTTCATACATCTTGTTCAACGCATCACTTCAACTACTACTTCACAAGGCAAACAGGATTATTCAGTAATCAAAGGAACACATCTTGTAACTTTTTATACCTTGTTAATAGTGATAAGTCCTCGGGTTGCTTGGACCGAGGATGATCTTGAAACAAGGAAAACATTAGTTAGTTAGTCTTAATCTATGTGATCCCTTATCTTCTATTAGTTATTCTCTTGTTTGAAGTGGCTAAGACTAGGCTTCTGATGCATGGTCATTATCGGTGTCATTGCTAAATTTTGTCGCTGAGCAATCCAATTTTGACTGACTAAGGGGCGCCCCTCTGGAGGGTGCTCTCACTCTTTGAAGGGTATAAATAGCGAGACCCTTCAATTAGAATCAAGGTTGCAAATACTCATTTCAGTTAAAATAATGTTTTTTGGAATAATTAAACCAAAAGATGGTATGAAGGCATGTTTTACTTGTAACTTACAAGAAGAAGTTACAAAGTATGCGTTTGAAACATAAAACCTGTAAATTTTGAGATCTATGATCGCTGATTGTGACTCTCATGAAGTGAAATAAACAGGTTTAATATGTCAAACACATTCTTTGCAACCTCTTCTTGTATCCTACCAATTCAAAATAGGATCATGGCATCTAATTATTTCATAATAAAAAAAAAACATTGTTTTAGCTGAAATGAGTATTTGCAACCTTGATTAGAATCGATTCATTGCGATAAAGACAAGAGTGACAACTGTATCAAAACCTGATACTTCATCATTTCTCAATAGTTATGGAGCAATACGACATGCACTAAACTAAGGACACGGGATATACTACAATAGATCAAATTACTGGTCGCAGTGGTTTTATGTCCCGAACAAAGGAAAAACAATTCGATTATCGAGATGAAACGAAACCTCCTTATGGCTTTCAATCCCTTTCACCGACACTCTATCATCGCATTTTCAATTTGTTTAATATGCGTTAGGTCCCGTTTTTGTTACTTTTTTTTAAGGTAAAAATGTGCATGGAAGATAAATTAAAATTACTACGTATAATCCTCAAGTGTTTTCACGTAAAAATGCTTTAAATATATATATTTTCTTTTTCCATTATATACGTCATGAAATCTCTTATGATGTGTTTCATGAAAGATTAAACTATCAAAGTCAAGCGCTCTTTCACTCGTCCGCTTCACCGAAGCTTGAAAGAAAGACTAATGAAGCGAAGCGAAAAAGAGAGACAAGCGTTTGAAAATGTTTTTGTAGGCGCCGACTGAGGTTCTAGAATACTGCGAAGCTGTTCGACTCAACAGAAAAAGAAGGCTAGCAGTTTCTTCGTCGCATCGATTTTGTCGATCGAAGCTGATATTGCGCCGCCCTGTCCATGATAAATGGTCTTCACAACTATGGATAGTATGGTGGGTCAACTCAGTATGATTCAATAGCAAATGATGATGATGATGTAAGATTTTTCCAGTTGATAATTTTGTTTGTTTTGATAAGATAATTGGTAAGAACTAAATAATACAAATAATGCCGCAAGAAAATACGTATTTCTCTCATGGTCATAAACTTATATCCGAAAAAAAAAAACAAAAAAAAAAACAGTTGACTCTTTCATCTGTTTTCTTCTTAAAATTACAATAAAACAGTTTCGATTCTGACAGTTCATTATGTCTTCGCCAGACCTAGTATATAACTTAAAACAATGATTTAGACACAACTAAACTACTGTGCAATGGTTTTTCCTGACTTTCCTCCATCGTGAAAATGTTCCTGGAAAATATTTTTTTGGATTATATTTTTATGGATTACTGAGATAATTTACTTATCATTTTGCTACACAACATTCTGTGTTTGCATATTTCTTCTTACATTACAGATTCCCAGAGGATGGAACAAAACACGAAAGAATTCGATAAATTGAGTAGTAATTGAAAAAGTTTTAAGCCTGTCAAAGTGGACTGGGTTCATATTGGCCCTAACGTTCTGACAAAGAGTTGATAATTCTTTTTTCGTAGTACCGTAAGTAGGAGTGACAATGAGCCAAAAAAGTCAAAAAATCTCGTTCTCTACCTTACAACGTTTATAGTTTAGCAAGCTAAACAATTTTAAGCAATGGTATATTTATATCTTATTTTACTAAACTTAAATAAAAATAGACTTTATGTGAGGTGAATTGGGCCAAAACATAAATTTCGTTAAAATATCATAAAATTTGTAAATGTATCGTACATGTTAGGAGTACACTTGGGTTTGATCACACATGTATTTCGTATGTATGGCTAAAGATCGCGTGTAACCCCCCATATATCCACATAAAAGTATGTTCAATCTATTGTTTGCCTGTGGACATTTTTACAAACGTGTTTTTGCTACTGTTTATGACACTTAACTTTTCAGCGCTATTTAAATAAAAGAACTGGTTAATTTTATCTACACTTTACTCCTGAAGTTTAAAGAACATTTTATAGTAATCATTTTATGTGTATTCAAGGTATTTGCATTAAAAAAACATTTTTTTCAATTTTGGCTCAATGTCACCCCGTCTTACAGTACCGAAAATGTTGGTAAAATTATGATGCTTTTTTAAGTTACAGCTCTTTTAATTATTTTGAATGTTGTATTTAAATTGCTCTCCAATCCTCATGAGGGTAAAATCGTTAAAAAATTGGGTAACCCTCAAAATTTCATGAAACAACACATAATTGTTCACTAGAGGTAATGATCCAAATTTGTGCTGGAATTCGGCCACTTTGACTCAAGCCCAATTTTTCAAAATGACGTATTCAATTTTTTTAAATTAATCATACCTCAAAAACGGCTCAGCTAATTGCAATGACATCTGAGACAAAGTTGTAGGAAGCTAGTTTGCCTATTCAGGATAAAATCCACTGATAAAAAATATAAAATTTTTGACGAAAAAAGAAGTTTTAAAACATCAAAAACATAAATATGATATTTTACAGCTCTTCAAAAATATCTAATTTCCTGAAATGGACAAACTGGACACTTGTGAGTGAATTGCCAAAAATCGTGAACATCATCTTCGTTTAATTGACACCAATAACTGAAAGCCTACAGCGAGTATATGTAGATTACGACTATAACTTAACCAGACCATTACGAACTAAATTTGGCTATGACATTGTTTTCACCAGCAGAAACAACCACATAAGTATCTTTCGACGTCACAGCTCTTTTTCCCAGCGTACCGGTCAAGGAAGCGATCAGCCATTTGGAGGACTGGCTATTAACACAACGAGAGGATGCAGCATGGAGAAACAAGGTTCGGACGTACCTTAAGCTGACCCACCTTTGTATGGAAGAGAACTCTTTCCGAGATAACTTCTACGAGCAGACGAAAGGAGCCCCAATGGGAAACCTTCTACCCCCTTGAATACGAAGTTTATAGGAGACCAACAAGCACCAAAAGAGTTATCTCCTATACTTCCAACCGTTCGTTCCAGTAGAACATTACCACCTTCCACCACATGATTCATCGGATGCAGACTCTTTCACTCAGCGAAACAGGAAAGGTTAAGGAATTACAGTACATCTTCGAAACGGCGAGACTCAACGGATACAAGAAGACCACAATCCAAGCAATCATCGATAAAATCGAGAATTATACAAAGGAGATTATTTACAACCATCACCGCAGCATCTGCTCCCTTGAAACGAGTGTCCGTTCCGATATTACTTGTATACTAAGACCACAGTTAAAAAAAAATCGAATTAGGTTTAGTTTTCACTAGTAGACATAACCAGTTAAAATCATTGTTAGGATCCGCTAAAGACCCAGTTAATGTTTTAGGTAAAGCAGATGTATTTAAAATAAGCTGTAATTTTTGTAACAAAGAATATGTAGGACAAATTAAGAGAACTTTAGCAACTAGTTTTAAAGAACATATATCGGAGGTTAATAAGGCCTAAAAGCAAAAAGGAAAAGGCCTAACAAATGATTTCAAACCAAAGGTTGCAGAACACATCTTCACAGAGGACCACCAACTATCGCCGGAGGACATCACGATTTCACGAACCGTATCTACACCATGGAAATTGGATGATGCAGAGAGCCTCGGGATCAAAAAAACAACGGAATTCAAATATACTCAACACATGACTTTTCAAGCTACTACCTTGGACACACCAACGAGTAAGCAGTGGAGTACCTGTTCCTACAGGAGATTAGATTTAAGTTTACCTAGATTCTATGTGAAAATGTACTTATGTTAATAAATATTCGGTAAAATGCGATGTTCTCTTGAGTCGAGCATTAGTAGAATACACTGAAGAAGTCTGCACATTATAGATGAAATACCCGTATCTATCAAGGATAAGCAAATAAGGTAGTGGAATTAAATGGAAATTACCAATCCTTTTTCTCTATCTCTCTCTTTATACAGGTATCCCACTAAGACGCCTACATTCTTCAGGATTTATCTGTTATATTTTTTTATTATTAAAAAGTGGTATGGAGAAAGTAAACAATGGAAGTTAATTAATGAATGTGATACAATAGTAGTAGAATTATATTTCTTATGTAGAAAAAAATAATTTTTAAGTCCAGTCCGTTCCAATGCGCAAATCGCATAAAAATTGCGTGAAATAAAAGTTAATATTTTTTACTAAGGTAAAAATTTTACGTATGTGATCAATTTTTAAGGTCCATTTCAGAAAAGTTTGCATTTTAATATGATTTCAAATGAACAGAAGTTTAAAAATATTTAAAATGTAATTTTTGTCTTATTGAGGCTTTCAATAGTTTTTTTTTCAGTTTTGATGATAATTTGTGCATTTTTTTTACGCTGGCAGTTTTCTACGACTTTGTCTCAGACGTCATTTCGATTGATGATTTATTGAAAAATATCAAATATGCCATTTTGAAAAATTATATGAGAGTCATACTGGCTGAATTCTGACACAAACTTGGTGCATTCCCCACAACTGATATGAGCTGATTTAAGACTGAATAAGCTATTTTTTAACTGAAAATGTTTGTTAGATTGCCACTAGCAGACAAATCGGCGAAATTTAATGGCTCGTTTAGGGGAAATTAAAATCTACTAGTTAGGGGAAATGGCTCTAATGTTGGCCTATGGATCTAAGATTGGGCCCATCGCTAAATACCTGCTATTTATCAACTATAAGTCATTGGGATGGTACTTATGGATATTTTGGGCGATATTGAAAATTTAGTCGATTGCTGAATTTATGTATGGGCCCAAATTACAGGCATTTAGGCTGACATTACATCCATTTCCCCTACCCTAGTAGCATGCTTGTCACAAATCAATTGTAGAAACTTATATACGACTTATTTCTGTCATAAACCAGTTGCTGTTACTTATTGTGATGAAAGTGTGCTACTCGGGTAGTTGATATGGAACTGCTCTGATGTTTTGTACCTTCACATTTGTTTAATTACTTCACGCTATGAAAAATCTTTTACATCCAATGTGAAGCTGTATTGCTTAGACCCTCTGCATATGTTTCATGATTTTCTAGACGCAAAACGTTTGGGGAACACAATTTGATCGATGAATAAACTGACATAAAAATTTCAAAAATCTTTCGGCTACCACATCACAGAATGTGTTCATGTCGCAAAACACTGCAAATGCTGCATACTTTACAAGCAAATCTGTTATGGAGTCTAACATTTTCCGGTTGGGTGTTCAGCGAAATAAATCCCATTTGAAGAGAAATAGATCATTCTGGTATGAAACCATCAGAAAAGCTGAAGATGGTTGATTGGTATTTAAGCCTGGTATCAGCTTGGTGTCCTACTCTGCTACAGTTATCAGTTCCACGTAAGCCGTAACCATCATTTTATTTACCAATCGCAGGATTTCCCCCCCATATCATCCCCTGTCGTCACTTACCCAACTCCTTCCTTCAGTATCACAGAGAACAGTGCCACGCCGACACCTTCGCCCGACATCGTAATCATTTCGACAAATTGTCTCCGCCGCTTGAAGTAATGGCCCAGCATCACGGCGGCCGACTCACGAACCATGGCGGCCCCAACACCGACAATCACTCCTGTATTTGTAACCGGGTGGGTGGATGGTTGGTTGGTTGGTTGGATGACCAATAGTTGAGGTTGACCGGTTTCCGAAAACAGTAGCGCAGGTGGAAGCCATGATGAAACATGAAAGAAAGCAGAACAAGAAGCATATTTTGTAAAAAGATTGGATGTTGCTTGACATAGAAACGGTTCGTTAAATATTGGCTGCTTCGTCCTTGGGTGCGCTCCTGTGCTGACAGGGTTGAAGGACACATCTTGAGAATGATTGATGGATGTGTTTTAGTTTTTCAGAGCAGGCGAAGTTGATCTTACGTAACTTTCTTGGCAAATTAATCAATTTTGGACAGCTGTTCCCCTTTTTAAACTTGAACCCTGCCACTGTATTTCTTTCTGTTACAAGACTGCATAAGCCCCAGACTGAGAAACCTCCAGAACACGAATAAAAAATGTATACGAGAGAGAGAGGGAGAATACTGATTTTCCCTGGAAAAATTCATTGCATAAAACGTGTTCTACGGCAGAACACATCTAGGTTAATCGTGTTTTTATGGATGTCCGGAGCGATTGTGTTTGTTAGGGGGTGAAACAGATTTCGGACCGTTTCTCTTTCACTCCTGCTGGTTTCTTGGTATGTGGTGCACTGGATACCATTTGGACAATACAACAAAATAGAAGCGATTGTCCGGGTTGATGCTCTCACAGGTGAGAGCTGATAGGTACTACTGGGTCATCCTTGGAATTGAATTGTCCCTTTCTGTTTTGCCATGTAGGGTTTTCCTCCTTTTACGCACCGCAGAACTGGGATACACTATAGGCTAGTGTTAAACTACTAGTCTAGATGAGGGGTGGTTAAATTTTGGCTGGCCTAGCTTTTGTGGCTATTTTTCGTGTTGAGCAGTTCCAGGCCAAATAACAAAAAAAAAAAAAAAAAGAGTTCGACCTTCTCCGATTGTCACGAAAGTTTGCATAGTTGTTTGTTATGGGCAATCATTAACAGTTGTACCGTTTTGGAATTTTTAATTTAATTTCAATAAATTGCAGTATCATTTCTCCTATCATATCTTAAATAGGAGAAATGGCTCTGATGTTGGCCTATGAATCTAAGATATGGCCCATCGCTAAAAATCTGCTATTTAACAATTTTACCTAGATGAACGCGTCATTGGGACGGTAGCTATTGAAAATTTAGTCGATTGCTGAATTTATGTATGGGCCCAAATTATGGGCATTTAGGCCGACATCACATCCATTTTCCCTATCTCAAAATGTATTTGTTCAATATTCATATTTTTTAAATGAAAAGCTTATAAAAATGGAAACTTTTGATTAGAAGTGTCATTTTTATGCTGCCATTTATGAAAAAATGTTAAACACGCCATTTTGAAACAAAAGGTACCGAATGGCTGAATATTAGCACAAATGTGAATAACTGCCCATAACAACCAATTATGCAAAGTTTCATGCAAATCGACGAAGGTCGAGTCTGATCATTTCATCATTTGGCGTGGAACTGCTCAGTTGGGAATATTCAGGCCCATAAATTTGGCTTTGCGTAGATTATACAGATTTATTGCATTTTGTTTCATTTCAAATGAATGTTTTATTTGAATTTTATTTGGAAACAAAGCATTAAGCTGGGAGAATTGAAAAAATAATTGAATTCGGAACGAAGCGGGTCTCTTCAAGAGAAGTAAGCAAGCTCTTAGTTGGATCTCTACAAAATGTTGATGGATGAATGATCGATTATTTTATAAGGTTGTCATCATCTTTGCTTTACAAATTACTGTCACAATTTCTTCTTGATGGGACTGATCCAAATTAACTGTATCGTACAAAAAAAAAAAGCGCCAAACCAAACTCTCATCGGGATAAAAACAAGCCAGCCATAATGCCAGGAAAAACTTTCAGTTTTTCTCCGATATCACTCAGAGCAAAGGCATTTATCATCATCTGAAAGGCATGTTATCCGATGGCAAAAAAAATCACCACCAAAAACCATACTCCAACCTGGCTCCTCATCTGCATGTTCTTCAAGTACTTTCTGGAGCCAGCAGAGCTAAAGAGCTCCCTCCGTCATTGTAATAATAATAATAATATTTCGGAAGATTGAATAATAAAGATATAATCCTATTACCGTTAGCATTTTTCCGGTCGCCATGCCGAGAATTTCTTCAGAAATTTATCATACGCGTCCGGAACAAAAAAAAAAAAGCGAAATTAATATGTATTCGCCTGTGCCGGTCGTTACGTCACAATATTGTCTGTCGTTCGTTTGGTGGCATTATGGTGCGGTCACTCGGTTTTATTCCGAGAACTGAAGAAAAATGGGGAAACCCGCGATGAAAATGGAAAAATTTCCAAGTCATCATCAAAGTTGTCGGTGGTGGTCTATGACAAAAAGAGCGCTAGAATGTTTTAAATAATCGCGTTGTTTATGGTGGGCATGAAACGTGAAGCGATAACAGGAATGAGCCGAATAAAAAAAGCAGTTGGTTGACCATGTAGGAGGGATGATTTTTAATAAACGTAGCTTTTAGCAACTGAGGGGTTGGAAAATGTTTTGATGATTGAAGGACTTTTTTGCTCTTCATGGAGGGTTGCGATGAATCAGTTACCGAATCGAATTTTGGATGGTTCAATTAAATATTGAAATATTGCGGGACTTTAATAAAAGTTAGGTACCCAACGCATTAGTAAAAAGTACCTAAATTTTGCACTGCACTGTTGGATATAAGCATAAAGGGTGATACGGTCAAAATTTGGTCAAGGGAAAACGCGTGTAAATCGGTGAAATCGTTTATTTAAAAAATCAAATTAAATTTCTTTTTCAAGTTCAATTAGTATAAAATTCAGGAAAAATATTCAGTTAGGCTTCCGCTTTTCCAAATCCGAATTGCCGGGCCTTACGCTTGACCCCTGCCATCAGATTTTGTACAGCCACCTTGTCCACCTTCTTCGCCGCAGAAAGCCAGTTTGCCTTGAACTGCTGCTCGCCCTTAGCAGTTTTTTTGGTCTTCTTTAGGTTCCGCTTGACAATAGCCCAGTATTTCTCAATTGGGCGGAGCTCTGGCGTGTTGGGAGGGTTCTTGTCCTTGGGAACCACCTGCACGTTGTTGGCGGCGTACCACTCCATGGCCTTTTTACCGTAATGGCAAGATGCCAAATCCGGCCAAAACAGTACGGAACAACCGTGTTTCTTCAGGAAAGGCAGCAGACGTTTATTCAAACACTCTTTCACGTAAATTTCTTGGTTGACAGTCCCGGAAGCTATGAAAATGCTGCTTTTCAAGCCACAGGTACAGATGGCTTGCCAAACCAGATATTTCTTTGCGAACTTTGACAGTTTCATGTGCTTGAAAACATCTGCTACCTTTCCTCTTCCTTCTGCCGTATAAAACTCCTGTCCCGGAACCTGCTTGTAGTCGGCTTTGACGTAGGTTTCGTCGTCCATTACCACGCAGTCAAACTTCGTCAGCATCGTCGTGTACAGCCTCCGGGATCGCACTTTGGCCGTCGTATTTTGTTTATCATCGCGATTTGGAGTCACTACCTTCTTGTAAGTCGATAGTCCGGCTCGTTTTTTGGCTCGATGCACGGTTGTAGACGATACACCCAGCTTATTTGCGGCATCTCGGAGAGAGAGGTTAGGGTTTCGCTTGAAACTACCGGCAACTCTCTTTGTCGTCTCAGCGGCTTCCGGTTTTCGATTTCCCCCCGATCCAGACTTCCTGGCTGTCGACAAACGTTCCCCAAACACTTTAATTACATTTGTAACGGTTGATTTGGCAACTTTTAGCGATTTTGCCAACTTTGCGTGCGAGTAGCTCGGATTTTCGCGATGCGCGAGCAAAATTTTGATACGCTGCACACACACACACCTTCAAAATGAGGGGTGTTCAGGTTTTTTAAATGCAAAATTGATAGAAATACGTCAAGTTGATATTGACCAAATTTTGACCGTATCACCCTTTACACGCTTATTTTACCCAATTTTGAGTATACATGAACAAAAGTAAAACATTTTTTTTTTTTTTGGTTTTCCAATAAACATACAATAAATTACAAAAATCTAAATATATAAGTAAGCGTTAAGGATTTTAACGCTTCTGTAGTGATTATTTGGCCGGCTCTCAGTTTAAATATTATTTGTATTAGACTAAACTTGTTTTTTATATAACAGATTATATTCTGTTTTGCCATAACCTTCAGTTTGAATAAAAATTTTAATAAATTTAAAACTACATACTACTACATACTGAGTAAAATTTTACTCAACTGTGAGTTGTTTTTGATAGCCTACACTGAACCACAACATCATCCTGGATTCGAATGATTATTGCCTCACTCAAGCCCTATAACTACTATCAGATGATTTTGAGAGGATCTTCATTCAATTTATCATCTGTTGGAATATGAACAAATCAAATGACAATCATCCATACAATGAATGATTTAAGATGGATTTGCGAAAGCCAAAGTAGACATAAATCAAACACAAATTCATAGGATAATCGTATTATTTTCAACTAATTATTAAATTGAAATTGTATTGTTGATTTTTGGATGAAAATCAGATGCACAACATCAAGTCACTTTACAATTTATTTATGATTATATTATTTACAAGTTCTGATTCAAACTGAGCTAGCGGGTTCTTCAGAGACGAATGATGATGGTGAGGTAGAGCCAATTGAAGGGCAAAGATGTTTTTATACAGCAGATTGATGTTGGCTTCGTAGACAGGAGTTGTCAACGATGTCATTGCAGGAGCGATTGCTGTGACCCTTGGGAAACGTATCCGTAGTCTACTATGGGGCCTGGGAAATAATGGGAAAACTTTAACAGTCCCATCTGGAAGGGAATGTATCTTCTGGCCTCGTTAGTAAAATTGGTCGAAAGCGACGTTCTGGATGATCCAGTAGCGCTGACCGTTCCGAATGCTGACATTCTTGAACATTAACTGCATGTGGGTTAGCAAATTGATACGTATACTTACATCTGAGCATTTCAATTC